ATTCATTGTTTTCAAGAATAAATTATTTCTCCTGGCCATCCATGGGATGTTCAGTGCTTCTCTCCAACACCACAGCTCAAAAGCATCAATTCTTTTTCTGTCATCCTTATGCATTGTCCAGCTCCCACATGCATAGCAAGTGATTGGAGAGAACATGGCCTGAATCAGACACACCTTAGTATTCAAACTGACATCATTGTTCCTCAATTATTTGGAGAGATCCTTAACTGCAGATTTTCCCAGTGCAAGGCACTCCTTATGTCCTGACTGCTGATACCGAAGGTGTTAATTGCGGATCCAAGCAAGATGAAGCTGTTACCATTTTCAATCTCTTCATCCATCATGTCTCAGACCGTCTCTCTAGTGATAAGACTCTCTCTTTTCTTGACATTGAAATACAATTCATATGGAAGGCTTCATTCCTTGACCTTCTGCAACAAGTGTTTTAAGTCCTCCTCACTTTAAGCAAGCATGATTGTGTCAGCTGCATAACTCAGGTTATTGATGAATTTCCCTCCAATCCTGATGCCACACTCCTCTTCCTAGAGTCCAGTTTCTTAAATAATTTGCTCAGCATTCAGCTTGAATACATATATAGAGAGAGTATAACCCTGATGCAATCCCTTCCCAATTCCAGACCATGCAGTGCTCCTCTGCTCTGTTCATACAGCAAGCTCTTGGTCTAGGTATAGGTTCCACATGAGCACAATCAAGTGCTAGAAGATATCCATTCTTCTCAATGTCAGCCACAACTTTAAAACATTTTTTTTCTACTAGTTTATTTACACATTTGAATACATTGTTTTTAAGAAAAAATTATTTCCATTTCCCTCACTCCCCCATCCATTAAATTGTACAACCCCATGCTTAATTCCCCTCCTTCCCCTGCACATCCTCATCCCTCTGCTTCCAACCTCTCCTATCCCTCTTAACTCCTTATACTTATTCTACAATAATAGTTTTATTCAATATTTATCCCTGTGGGATTGAGTTACTTCACTTAGCATAATGCTTTCCAGTCCCTCCCAAGTTAGGTAATAATTTACAAAATCATTGCTCCTGCATGCTGCATAGTAACCCATTGTGTGAATATACCACAATTTCTCAATCCATTTGTTTGTGGTTGAACATTTGAGCTGTTTCCATGTTCTTGTGATGGTGAATAATGCTGCTATGAACATAGGTGTAAAGATCTCCGTTTGTACCTCAGTTCTCATTTTCTCATGGTATATTCCATATAGTGGAATAGCTGGGTCATATGGAATTTCTATGTTCAGCTTTTTGAGGAAGCGCCAAACTGATTCCAGAATGGTTGTACCATTTTACAATCCTATCAACAATGTATAAGAGTTCCTTTCTCACCACATCCTTTCAGATATTTATTACTTGCTGCCCTGTTAAACTTTGCCACTGTTATTGGAGTGAGATGCTACCTCATTGTAGTTTTTATTTGCATCTCTCTTATTGCCAGTAATTTGGAGCATTTCTTCATGTGTCTGCTAGCCACTCGAATTTCTTCCTTGGTGAAAATTCTTTCCAGGTCTTTTGTCCATTTTGTAATTGGGTTATCAGTCTTTTTCTTTTGGATGCTCAGGAGTATTTTGTAAACTTTTTTAATAAGACTCTTGTCTGAGATGGTATTACCAAATGTTTGTTCAGTCAGTAGGTTTTGTTTTCACTCTGTTGGAAAATGTTTTTGATGCACACATGGATTTAATCTTTAGAAGGTCCCATGCATCAATTTTACCCTCTTTAGATTGTGCATTTCTGGTTGTATTTGGCAGTCTCTTTATACCTTGGACTAGTGCTTCTAAGCTTGACCACAGTTTGTCTCTTATAAAAGTTATGGGTTTGGGTTTTATTCCCAGGTCTCAGATACACCTTGAGGTGATTTTTATGTATTGTATGAGATGTGGATCCTGTTTAAGTTTTCTGTGGGTTCCAGTGCAGTTTTGTCAGCACATTTGTTGAAGAGGTTGTAATTTCCCTGTTTGATAGCTTTGATGTCCTTTTAGAATATCAGTTGACCATAGCTAGCTGGGTCTATTTCTGAGATCCCAATTCTGTTCCATTGTTCTATGTGCCTCTCATTGTACCAGTACTACTGTTGTACAGCAGGTTTTGTTTCTCAGAAGTGTTTTGCTTATTTGGGGTATCTTGCCTCTCCAGATAAATTTGGTAATTTCCCTTTCAATCTCCTTGAAAAATGAATTTAGTAACTGGATTGGGATTTCACTGAACATATAGATTGCTTTGGATAGGATTATTATTTTCACCATATTGAGTCTTTCTATCCATGAACAGGGCACATTTCCCCATTTCTTTTATTTTATTTTAATAATTTTAATGAACATTTACAGAGATTTTGGATTTCCATTCATTCATTGTTGCACTTTTCTACCTGCCCAGCCCTTCCCCACTGCCCCCCCCCAGTTCACTTCTCTCTTTGAAAAGTAAAAGAAATTTTTTCCATTTCTTTAGCTCTTTTATTATGTCTTGCAGAAATGTTAATTTGTGATTGTCTATTGTAAATCGTATTATTTTCTTGATTTTTTACTCTGAGTTCTCTTTGTTACTGTACAGGAATCCTATTGATTTTTGGATATTGATCTTATATCCTGCCACTCTACTAAATTGGCCTATTAATTCTAATAGCTTTTTTGTTGAGTCTTTGAGTTTTCTGTGTACACTATCATATCATATCATATCATATCATATCATATCATATCATATGAATATAGTGACAGTTTAACCATCTCTTTGCTGATCTGGATGCCTTTTATTTCCTTATCTTGTATAACCCTAGCAAGCACTTCCAATACAATACTGAAAAGAAGTGGTAACAGTGGGCATCCTTGTCTGGTCCCTGTTTTCAAGGAAAATCTTTTTAGTCTTTCTTCATTGAGAATGATGTTGGCTTTTGGTTTTGCATATATACACTATGTTGAGGAAATTCCCTTCTATTCCAATTTTGCTGAGTGTCTTTATCAGGAAGAGGTGTTAGATTTTGTCAAATGCCTTTTTTGCATCAATTGCTAAGGTCATATGGTTCTTGTTATTTACTTTGTTAATATAGTAAATGACATTGATTTTTTTCTTCTGTTGAACCATCGTTGTATACCTGTGATGAATCTCACTTGGTCATAATGAATTATTTTTTTGATGTGCTTTTGGATTCTATTGGCTAGGATTTTGTTATGGATTTTGCATCTATATTCATGAGAGATTCTTGCCTGTAGTTTTCTTTCTTGGCACTATATTTGCCTGGTTTTAGTATTAGGGTTATGCTTGCTCCATAGAATGACTCTGGAAATCTTCCTTCTTTTTCAGTTTTTTGAGGAAGAGCCAGGCTGTCTTCCACAGTGAAAAAAATATTCTGAGTTTGAGTTGAATTTAGGTATTCTGATAATAGTATCCTTTCCATTCTACTGCTGAAGGAAAACTAAAGGTAAATTCTTTCATGTATTTTGTTTACATTGAATAAAAACAGTTACTTGACAATGTAAAGTAAGGTACTGTTGTTATTTTTGGTTTTTTGACTTTGAGATGCAATTTGTATTTTTTAAATTACATATATTTATTGGTTTGTATACAATCATTCATATACATTATGTGTATTATGCATGCAAATAGCATTTTATGCACTCTTTCATTTGCATTTTATTTCATTCATGCATATTGTGGTTCTCTTTTATAATCATCTTACTAATATTTAAATTCAAGAAAGTATGTAAGCCATCTAGTTCATACCTCATCCTTTACTATCCCATTTTAGATGACAAATTTCTGATTTGCCCATTCCTATTAAGTCTGTACTTTGAGAGAATAAACATGTCCCTTTTGTTGAAGAATCTTCTGTCCCATTTGACAACTTTGAGCATCTTCATCCACAAGCAAAATCCAGTCCAGAGTAAGCCATCAAGCTGCAGCAATTGACACTAGCTCACAACACGGATCTCTTCTCTTCATTTGGTTGGGTTCTGGTCAACTCATGCCCACCTATCTGTGGCTAGGTCCAAATGGGCCTAAAGTCACAAACTCAGGAGCCCATTACTTCTTCATGTGGTTTAGCCTGTTTGGTCCCTCCACTCAGCCCTGGCACCCACATGGGGCCAAGTCAATAATAAGCCAGGGGTCCTCTTGACTTTTTGCTCCTTCAGCCAGAGATACAATTCATATTGAAGGTTGTATTCTTTGATCTTCTGTAGAAATAATTCAAGTTCTCCTCACTTTCAGCAAGCAAGGTTGTGTCATCTGCCTAATGCAGAGAATCGATGAGTCTTCTATCAATCCTGATGTTGCATTTTTCTTTACAGAGTCTAACTTCTCAAATAATTTGCTTAGCATACAAAGTAAATGTTGTTGTTGCTATGTGTTGTTGAGTCACCTGCAACCCATAGTGACCCATGTGCAGTAGCTCTTAACCCTGCCCTGTCCTGAGCCAGTCTCACTAATTCTGACACACCAACCCCCATTGCTTTAGCCACTGTATCAATCCATTTTATCTGGGTTCTTCCTCTCCTTTGCTGTCCCTCCACCTTTCCGAGCATGATGTCATTCTCTAAGGATGAGTTCTTTGCCACATGCCCAAAGTATGTGAGACAGAGCTTCAAAATCGTACCCTCCAGGGAGAAATTTGGTTTCACCTTCTCCAAGACAGACCTATTTGTTTTCTTAGTAGTCCATCTTCTCCAGCACCACAACTCAAAGGCATTAATTCTTCTTCTGTCATCCTTAGTAATTGTTCAACTCTCTGATGCATAGCAAGCAATTACAAAGATTATGGCCTGGATTAGGCCCACCTTATTCTCTAGACTGACATCATTGCTTTTCAGTAGTCCATGACAGCAGATTTGCCCGGTGCAATTCGCCTTTTGATTTCCTGACTGTTGGTGTCAAGAGTGATGATAGTGGATCTGAGCAAGCTGTAATTGTTAACAACCTCAATATTTTTTCCATCTATCATGATGCACTCAGTTGGCTCAATGATGAGAATTTTTGTCTTCTTTATGTTGATCTTCAATCCATATTGAAGACTATGGTCCTTGACCTTGTACAGCAAACACTTCAGATCTTCTTCAGTTTCAGCAAGCAAGGCTGTGTCATCTGCATAACGTAGGCTGTCCATGAGTCTTCCTCCAATCTTGATACCACATCCCTCCTTAAAAAGCCCTACTTCCTGAATTATCTGTTCTGCATACAGATTGTAAAGGTATGGAGACAGGATGCATCCCTGACACACTCCTTTCCTGATTTTGAACCATGCAATGTTTCTCTGTTCTGTTCTGAGGACTGCTTCCTGGTCCAAGTAGAGGTTTCACATAAGCACAGTCAAGTGTCGTGGAATTCCCATTTTCCTCAAGGTTAATCACAATTTGTTAATTTATACAGTCAAATGCCTTTGCATAGTCAATGAAAGAGAGTTAGACATTTCTTCTGGCACTCCCTGCTTTTTGACAAGATCCATCTGACATTGACAATAATTTCTCTAGTGTCACAACCTCTTCTAAAACAAGCTTATATTTCCGGTAGTTCTCTGTCAATGTACTATTCCAGTCATTTCTAGATAATCTCCAGCAGAATTTTGCTTGCATGTGATATTAGTGATGTTGTTTGATAATTTTCACACTCTTGTTGGGTCATATTTTTTTTGAATGGAAATAAATATGGATCTCTTCCAGTCAGTTAGGCAGGTAGTGGTCCTCCAGATATCTTGGCACAACCTGGTGAGAACATCCAGGGCAGCACCTGTTTGTTGAAATGCATTAATTGATATTCCGCCAATTCCTGGAGTTTTATTTTTTCCAATTCCTTTAGAGCAGTCTGAATTTCCTCCTTCATCACCATTGCCTCTTGATCATATGTTATTTCTTGAAATTCTTCTATGTCAGACACTTTTTTTGGGTACAATGACTCAGTGTATTCCTCCCATCTTCTTTTATTATTTCCTGAATCATTCACTATTTTGCTCATAACATCCTTAAGCATTGCAACTCATGGCTTGAATTTTTTCTGTAGTTCTTTCAGCTTAAGAAATGTTGAGCAAATTTGGCCCCTTTTGATTTTCTGACCTCAGTTCCTTGTGTTATTGTTGTTGTTATGTGCCGTCGAGTCACTTGTGACTCATAGTGACCCTATGCACAACAGCCCTAAACTCTGCTCTGTCCTGTGCCAATCACACTGTCTCCAACACTCCCACCCCGATTATCCCAATCACTGAATCAATCCACCTCATAGAGGGCCTTCCCCTCCTGCACTGTCCCTCCACCCTCCCAAGCATGATTTCCCTCTCTAAGGACCGGTCCCTCCTCACAACATGTCCAAAGTATGTCAGACGGAGCCTCAGAATCCTTGTCTCCAAGGAGCCACCCGCTTTAACCCTTTCCAGGATGAATCTGTTTTCCTAGAAGTCCATGGTACTCTCAATACTCCTCTCCAGTGCCACAGCTCAAAGTCATCAATTCTCCTTCTATCCTCCTTGGTCATTGTCCAACTCTTTGATGCATAACAAGTGATTGCAAAGACCATGGCCTGTATCAGACGCACCTTAGTCTCCAGAGAGACACCGTTGCTCTTCAGTACTTTGGAGAGGTCTCTAACAACATACTTTCATATTGCAATGTGCCTTTTAATTTCCTGGCTGCTGGTGCCAAGACTGTTGACTATGGAGCCAAGCAAACTAAAGCTGTGTACAATCTCAATCTCTTCACCATCCATCCTGATGCTCCCAATTGGTCCAGTAGTGAGAATCTTTGTCTTCTTGACATTGAGCCTCAATCCATATTGGAGGCTGCAGTCCTTGACCATCTGCAGCAGGTGCTTCAGGCCCTCCTCGGTTTGAGCAAGCACGGTTGTGTCATCTGCATAATGCAGATTGTTGATAAATCGTCCACCAATCTTGACCCCACATTTCTCCTCATAGAGCCCAGCCTCCCGGATAATCTGTTCTGCATATAGGTTGAAAAGGTATGGAGATAGGATGCATCCCTGGCGTATGCCCTTCCCAATTTTGAACCATGCAGAATTCCCTTGCTCTGTTCTGACGACTGCCTCCTGGTCCAAGTACAGGTTTCACATTAGAACGATTAAGTGTTCTGGGATTCCCATTCTTCTCAGAGTAGCCACAGTTTGTTATGCAGTCAAACGCCTTTGCATAGTCAATGAAACACAGATAGACATTCCTCTGGTATTCTCTGCTTTCAACTAAGATCCATCTAACATCAGCTACAATATCCCTAGTACCACAACCCCTTCTAAATGCAGCCTGGACTTCTGGCAGTTCTCTGCTGATGCTCTGTTCCAGTAGTTTTTGAATAATCTTCAGTAGAATATTGCTTGCATGTGAAATGAATGAGATTGTTGTATAGTTTCCACACTCTATTGGGTCACCTTTCTTTGGGATGGGAACAAATATAGATCTCTTCCAGTCAGTTGGCCAAGTGGTTGTTCTCCAGATTTCTTGGCACAATGTACATTTCATTATATGTCTTCCCAAGCTGCCCTTTGAAATTTTCTTTTCTGCTCCTTAACGTCTTAATTTCTTCCCTTTGCTTTGGCTTCTCAGTGCTCTAGTATAATATTCAGAGTCTCTTCTGACATCCATTTTGGTATTTTCTTCTTCTTCCTTCTTTGTAAGACCTTTTGCATTCTTTGTGAACGATATTTTTTA